AGATAGATGAGCTAAGATTAATTGCAAGTGCAGGAAACATAGATATTATTGCTATAACAGAGACCTGGCTCAATCTGAAAGAATAGAGAGATGCCCTCTGAATGTCACATACAAGGCTATAAATTATTCCACACTGACAGGGTCAACAGGAAAGGTGGTGGAGTAGCGATGTATGTCAGAGACAATTTAAATTGTTGTGTTAGACAAGATATTAAATTAGAAGCGTCAGCCACTGAATCTGTTTGGTTACAGCTTCTCGAGGCCGAGAAAAACAAATTTTTGGGGTGTGATTTACAGGGCCCCAAATCTTGATAGGGAGTGCAGTAAACTTCTATGGGACGAAATTCGTAAGGCATCTACATACGAAAATGTTGTGCTAATGGGAGATTTCAACTATAGACAGATTGACTGGAGCAATTTGACAGGAAATTTAGAGTCAGGTGACTTTCTTGATACGATCCAGGATTGTTTTCTAAAACAGTTTGTGACAGAGCCAACTAGGGAAATAACCTCCTTGACTTGGTTCTTGCCAGTGGGGAAACACTAATTAATAATCTTGGGGTTAATGATGAGCTTGGGGAAAGTGATCACAAATCACTCAGTTTTAATATATCATGGAATTCCCCTAATAATGGCAATCAAGTCTCCGTCCCTGACTTTCGCTTGGCTGATTTCATAGGACTGAAAAATTACTTAGTGGGCTGAACTGGAATGACCTGACTAAGGGTCAGGTAGGTGGTGATGGTTGCCGATATGATGCTTTCCAGGGCATAGTTCTAGCTGCTCAGTCAAATTATGTTCCAAATAGGGAAATCAGATCAAACAAAAATGATCCTAAATGGATGAACAATAGATTAAAATATCTGATTGGTCAAAAGAGAGGCATATATAGGCAAATCAAAAGAGGAGAGGGGCAATTGAGAAATCGATATATTCAGTTAAAGAGAGAAATAAAAAAGGGAATTAGAAAAGCAAAAAGAGATTATGAGGTTAAAGTTGCAAGAGAATCGAAGACTAACCCAAAAGGATCTTTCAGGTATACAGAAGTAAGATCAAGGACAAGATAGGCCCACTCAAAAGTTCCTCGGGTCAGCTCACTGACAGTGATAAGGAAATGTGTAGAATTTTTAACACATACTTCCTCTCAGTTTTTACACTGGAAGATACTAGCGATATTCCAGAAATGATAAATTATGTAGAACAGGACGATAATAAACTGTGCACTATTAGGTCACAAGTGACATGGTCCTTAGGCAAATAGATAAATTAAAACCTAACAAATCCCCAGGCCCTGATGAACTGTATGCAAGGGTTCTAAAGGAATGTAAAGAGGAGCTTAGCACACCTTTGGCTAATCTTTTCAACATATCACTACAAACTGGCATGGTGCCAGATAAGTGGAAAATGGCAAATGTGATACCTATTTTCAAAACAGGTGACAGGTCCTTAGCTTCGAACTATAGACCAATAAGCCTAACCTCCATAGTGGGAAAATTTATGGAATCAATAATTGCCGAGGCAGTTCGTAGCCACCTTGAAAAGCATAAATTAATCAACGAATCTCAGCATGGTTTTACAAAGGGGCGTTCCTGCCTTACGAATTTATTAACTTTTTTTCACTAAGGTATTTGAGGAGGTAGATCATGGTAATGAATATGATATTGTGTATATGGACTTCAGTAAGGCTTTGACAGGGTCCCACATCAGAGACTATTGAGGAAAATTAAAGCACATGGAATAGGAGGAGAAATTTTTTCCTGGATAGAGGCATGGTTGACAAATAGGCAGCAGAGAGTTTGCATAAATGGGGAGAAATCAGAGTGGGGAAGCGTCACGAGCGGTGTTCCACAGGGTCAGTGTTGGGCCCCCTGTTGTTCACAATCTACATAAACGACATAGATGAGGGCATAAAGAGCGACATCGGCAAGTTTGCCGATGACACCAAAATAGGCCGTCGAATTCATTCTGACGAGGACATTCGAGCACTCCAGGAAGATTTGAATAGACTGATGCAGTGGTCGGAAAAAATGGCAGATGCAGTTTAATATAGACAAATGCAAAGTTCTAAATGTTGGACAGGACAATAACCATGCCACATATAAACTAAATAATGTAGATCTTAATATTACGGATTGCGAAAAAGATTTAGGAGTTCTGGTTAGCAGTAATCTGAAACCAAGACAACAGTGCATAAGTGTTCGCAATAAAGCTAATAGAATCCTTGGCTTCATATCAAGAAGCATAAATAATAGGAGTCCTCAGGTTGTTCTTCAACTCTCAGTGGCCTGGTGGCTAAAGCTCCCGCTTCACACACGGAGGGCCCGGGTTCGATTCCCGGCGGGTGGAAACATTCCGACACGTTTCCTTACACCTGTTGTCCTGTTCACCTAGCAGCAAATAGGTACCTGGGTGTTAGTCGACTGGTGTGGGTCGCATCCTGGGGGACAAGATTAAGGACCCCAATGGAAATAAGTTAGACAGTCCTCGATGACGCACTGACTTTCTTGGGTTATCCTGGGTGGCTAACCCTCCGGGGTTAAAAATCCGAACGAAATCTTATCTTATCTTATCCTTGGTTAGGCCTCATTTAGATTATGCTGCACAGTTTTGGTCACCGTATTACAGAATGGATATAAATTCTCTGGAAAATGTACAAAGGAGGATGACAAAGTTGATCCCATGTATCAGAAACCTTCCCTATGTGGATAGACTGAGGGCCCTGAAACTGCACTCTCTAGAAAGACGTAGAATTAGGGGGGATATGATTGAGGTGTATAAATGGAAGACAGGAATAAATAAAGGGGATGTAAATAGTGTGCTGAAAATAGCTAGCCTAGACAGGACTCGCAGCAATGGTTTTAAGTTGGAAAAATTCAGATTCAGGAAGGATATAGGAAAGTACTGGTTTGGTAATAGAGTTGTGGATGAGTGAAACAAACTCCCAAGTACCGTTATAGAGGCCAGAACGTTGTGTAGCTTTAAAAATAGGTTGGATAAATACTTGAGTAGATGTGGGTGGGTGTGAGTTAGACCTGATAGCTTGTGCTACCAGGTCGGTTGCCGTGTTCCTCCCTTAAGTCAATGTGACCTGACCTGACTAGGTTGGGTGCATTGGCTTAAGCCGGTAGGAGACTTGGACCTGCCTCGCATGGGCCAGTAGGCCTTCTGCAGTGTTCCTTCGTTCTTATGTTCTTATGTTCTTATTTATTGTGGCAACGTTTCGCTCTCCAGGAGCTTTATCAAGCCATTACAAACAATACATGGACACAGAGGGTATATAAAGGCTCAGAGTGAGGTGAATACTAGTGAGGTACCATTTCGATGTTCACTAGTGGTGGTAGTAGTAGTGGTAGTGACAAAAGTAATACAATATGGTAGAGCAATTAATTCGTACATGAGTAAAAGGATATAAAAGCTATTACTTGGGTAACATAAAAATAGGTTGGACAAATATAGACTGGAATGAGGCAGCTTGTTTCAGTGTTTACTCTCTGTGCTTTGTGTAGTATAACAGGAGAGACTATGTGATGGCAGGGTTTACTGTTTTCAGGAGGATTCTTGCTAAGACTTCGGAGATGTGGAAGCTGCCGTGTTTTGTTTAATTGTATTCGAAACAGCGATCAGTGCTGATTCGAGGCACTTGCGTCTGCGGAAATTAGTTTCTTTGATCACTAATTGGGCGTCTCTGAATTTCATGAGATGATTGGTGGAATTTCGGTGTTGTACACAGGCGTTGTTCAGGTTATCGTTCCTACATGCGTAAATGTGTTCATTGAGGCGGGTGTCGAGGTTTCTGGCTGTTTCACCTACGTAAATCTTGTCACAGCCTCCACAGGGTATAGTGTAAACTCCTGCATTGACTGGTTCGTGGTGCTTGGATTTTGTCCTGGTTATATCCTTTATTGAAGTGCTAGAAGCGATGGCGACTCTGGTGTTAGCTTGTGAAAGTACTTTTGAGACGTTCAGTGCAACCTGACTGTTGGGAAGAATTATAACTTTGCTGGGAGTGGTGTTGATGCGTGGAGAATTTATGATCTGAAGAGCTCTTTTCTTGCAGTCTTTGATGAAAAAAGAAGGAAAATGTAACTCTGTGAATGTTTGGTGAATGTATGTACACTCCTCGTCAAGAAACTCAGGACTACAAATTCGGTATGCTCTTAGGAAAAACCCGATGATGATGCCTCTTTTGGTCTTGGTATCTTGACTGGAATAGAAGTGTGTGAGATCTTTTTTATAAATGTCACATTAGTTGCACTTGTGTCCTTTTACTTTCTAAAGAGTGCAGATTCAGGGCTTCAGTCTATCCTCATAGGGAAGATTTCTGATACATGGGATCAACTTTGTCATCCTCCTCTGTACGTTTTCCAGTGCATTTATATCCATTCTGTAATGTGCAAGAAAGGTATAAAATACCGACAATATGAAAGTTAAGACACATGTGCAACATCTGGATATCTTTATTGTAGACGTTTCGCCATCCAGTGGCTTTATCAATACAGATTCTAGGACATAATAGGAAGACAGTAGAACTATATACAAAAGATGAGGTAATCAGTCCCTCGGCCTTGGAGTTAGTGTTCACAGCATCGTGGTGGAGGAGAATCTGGAGCAAAGGCAAGAAGACTGGCGGTTATATAGGCGTCAGTGGATAGGGACGGGCAGCAGGCGAGGGCATAGTCACTGGTAGGCGGGATTCCCCAATGGAAGTAGGTCCTTCCCAAAGAGATGGGTTAGTTGCAGCAGCCGTGAAGAAGGTCTTGTAGATGTCCTCTGAACCAAGATTCCATGATGTTGCAGTGTCTGACAAGTTGTGCAAGAAAGGTATAAAATACCGACACTGCTTCTTGATATGAAGCCAAGGATTCTATTATGCAGAGAATTTTGGGCAAATTAGGTAAGTTTTGTTCCAGGATGCGACCCACACCAGTCGACTAACTCCCAGGTACCCACTTTACTGATGAGTGAACAGGGACAGCAGGTATCTTATGGAAACACGTCCCTAATGTTATCCAGCTGTACCGGAGTTAGTTTTAGTTTAATATGTTTATTATGCACCCCATACCCATCCTGTGGGCGCTAGTCACCACATACCCATCCTGTGGGTGGTAGTCAAAAGATTACAGAGGTACATAATTGGTCCAGGGACTGGACTCCAAAGTTTTGATAGCTGAACAAGTTACGAAGGTAATGAACTAGATCTGGTCACAATCGTGACCAAGTTACAAAGGTAATGAGTTCCAGGTACAGCTGGTCACACTCATGACTAATTACAAAGGTAATGAACTAGATCTGGTTACAATAATGAGAATTGAAAAAGGTAATGAGCTCCAGGTAGAGCTGGTTACAATCATGACAAGTTTCAAAGGTAATAGATCGTGAACACATGATTACAATCATGAACAATTATCAGAGTAATGATCAGTTGACAAACATTGTAGGGAATTCATCCATTGCCAACAGATGTTGCTAGGTGCCTGTCCCTCCTCGGCAGGACAGCCAGACAGCCATTGCAAACAGCAGCAAGTTGCCCCGGGATCTGTTGTTTGCAGGAGCACCATCCTCTCCAAGAGGCCACGACTCCGCTAGCAGCCCGAGGGAGAGCCGCCCTGGGGACTTGTCAACGTCCTGGTGGACGCCAAGTTGACTGAAGATCCCAGTCCCTCTGTAAAGGCGCGGCAGCTGTCACCTATGTCTGCTGGGAGGGGCTGTTGATTGTTGCCACCTGGAGCCCTCCGGGTGCCCAGACACCCACCGTGTGCACGTATGTTGAGGAGATTCCAACTCCGGACCTCCGTGTGTGAGGTGAGTGCGCTAGCCATCGAGCTACGGGACATACTGCAGCGCTGTATAGCCCTTGTGGCTTAGCGCTTCTTTTTGATTATAATAATAATAATACGGGACATACTAAAGAGTAAAATTTTAATAACTTTGTCAATAATTTGTGTAAATGTCACATTAATTGCACTTGTCCTTGTACCTAACATATTGTGGGTAATTCTACCAACATTAATAAAAGAATACTCTGATCACTAAAATATGCATTAAGGTTACCTTTCAGTGTATGTACAGAGATGCACATCTGTTGTATACTGTACACCCCTCAAGGGAGGTTTCTTGACGATGGTGATAGGCTCTTGATCTAGGGAATTGGATCTGTGCTCCAGTTCCTTGGATTGAGCCTGAATACCTCCCATCTCCTCCCCCACACATGCGCTGTATAATTCTACGGGTTTAGCGCTCCCCCATGATTAATAATGTACGTATACTGTACAACTTAGCTAATGAGGCAAGGGAGTCGCAGGTAATTACAGTAGCTGTAGTTTCATATATGTAGTCATAGTTACAGCTGTACTAAGTAGTTATGGATTATGCAGTTGTATAGTAATCATATCTTTATGACATAATGCATTTATAAATTTTGATTTACAGTTTAATCACCTCCGATGACTATTGAACGAGAGAGAGCGTGTTTGACCGTCAAGATGTCGGACACAGTGACCCAGGTCACGTGACTGCGCTGTATACACTACTGTTTTAACATTTCCATAAAATGTGGTTATAACTATGACCATAACTTTTGAAGGGGTGGACTGGTAAGCCAGCGGAAGACCTTGGTCAGATGACCAAAAGCTCCAGCGGTGCGTCATCTAAGACCCACGTCAGGAAACACTTGTCCTGTTTCCTGACAAATCTTACCTAACCTGTTTCCATCAGAGCATCCAGAAGAGGAAAATTACCATCATAATTAACATCGACAGAAGGCTGCAAATTGTTCTGCCGATGTTACGTTCCAAGAGGAACGTAACATCTTTTGGGGAATACCAGTGTGACTGATTTATTCAAGGTACAGATAAGCCAATCACTAAGGACATCTGAGCTTATTTCACTGTCGCAGTTCAACTTAATTTGGGAGATCACGTAATCAAGTGTGAAAATTATCAGTTCTCAGCGATTGTCCTCATAAAACATTTAACATGTTTTTGTCTTATTTGATAACTCTATTTGCCAGCAAATTTAATGACAGATATGATAAACGATAAACTTAATTTCTATAAAGAATATTTTACACCTGGTACAGAAAACGTAATGTTATTAAGAGTATATAAAGACCCTGGTTACACACAGCATCTCGGCCAACCTTCAGTAACTTGTAAGTTACGTATAACATATAACTACTAATGTAATTTTTGCAAGAACAGTTTTCTAAAAAAATTGTGGAAATTGTTAATGTTAGTCAAATACAAATTCATGTAACAATATTAATCACAGTATTATAGAACAGGATATAGAGTTAACTGAAAGACCAAAGAATTTACAACATCTCAGATAAAACCTAGTCTATACTATACTTACAATTTACTTAACAATTATATCTTGTGACTTTTATTGCGAATTTGCTAAGTTTAACAGAGTGGTATTAGTTATTTAAATTACAATACAAATATGATGAGAAAAGTGTTTCTAATAATTGACAGGTGCTGAAGGTAACCTGCAACACTGAAACCGTTGGTTGCACAGTTGTTTACTGGAACTCCTCTAGTGTAACAATTTTAATTTTTAAAGGGGTGGACCAGTAAGCCAGCGGAAGGCCTCAGTCAGATGACTAAAAGCTCCAGGGTCATCATATGACTTAGACCCGCGTCAAGAATCACTTGTCCTGTTTCCTGACAGATCTTACCTAACCTACCTCCTCTAGTGTCTCTAGTATAACAAAGAATTGCCACCATGCTCCGTGGCCTAGTGGCAAAAGCTCTAGCTTCACACGGTGAGGGTCCGGGTTCGATTCCTGCCGAAGGGATGGAAATACTGGACGTGGTTTCCGTCCACCGGTTGTGTATGTACTCCATCAGTAAAAATGGGTACCTGGGTGTTAGTGGACTGGTGTGGGTCGCATCCTGGGACAAAACTGACCTAATTTGCCCGAAATGCTCTGCATAACAAGCGGCTTTCTATATAGTAGTATGTCATTGATGTCAGCTAGGACTGTATACCTTGTACATATACTTGTAGTAAATAAAGATGTATAAAAAAATATTTAAACTTCCTTGTTTACAAAAGTGGTTCTTTTCGTAAATATGGAAGCCAACCCTCTACAGGATACCTCGGTTACCCTAACGAGTCTCAACCTAACTCTTCCAGGCACTTGGATACAAACTTTTCCCATGATTTAAGGCTGTCCAGGCCTACCATGATGGAGATGTAACGCAGTGTGTCGCCCCTGTTATGTGATTGTCTTCTGGGTCACCCTGAAGGTGGCGTCGCTACCTCCTTCAGAAGCACTGTGTCCGAGATAAGATTCTCTCAGTGTAACTGCACACGTGTAGTGCCTCGCTATCTGCTTACCATCTGTTCAGGTCAGTATGATAACCCATCTGGATCTTTCCGGATACAGTCGGCTTTGCAGATGTGGTTTTTTTTTTAAGTGATTAACAGCGGCTTCAACTATTTACTACTACTACCACTATCACTACTATTACTACTACTACTACTACTACTACTACCACAATTATTACTACTACCACTATTACTACTACTACCACCACCACTATTATTATTACTACCACTATTACTACTACTATTGCTACTACTACCACCACTATACTACTACCTTCTGTTGTACCACTCCCTCTCGTATATATACTGGCCTCCTTTCCTCAGTGTGATTTATTAAACGTCCAATTAGGACCGAAACGTCGTTATAAGTTTGAATCTCCTATTATTTGTGTATTGTTGCAGCCACGGTAGTGTGACCTTTTATACTTCAGGAAAATATAACTTTATATATCTTGATAAGAAAGAAAGAGTCACATGCTAGGCATTAACTTTTTTGCCCTTTGATGATTTTCTAAAGTATTTATATTTTTGCTGTAGTTGCTGGTATTAAAGAAGAAAAATCACAATGCATGGCTTGGACATTTCACAAATAACCCGCACTATTGTCAAGTCACAGTTGAGCAAGAAATAGAGAAGACTACAAATCACGTCAGGAAGGAGGGGAAAGAAAAATATGTAGTTGTAAGCAGTTTAAATAGTAGAAAGAATAAAAAATTTCCTCTTTCAGGCTGTGTTACTTGGGAATGAATTATTATTATTTATTTTCGAAGGGCTACAGCAGTGTGTAGGTGCACATCTTCCAATTTTATGTACAAAATTGTGCGAAATAGTTTATAAATAGCTTCAGTACTTAATGGGTGATGCAGCCTGTGACCAAACATACAGCTTCCACAGAATGAAAGTCAACCAGGCTTGGTTTTAGGAAGATGTTTGTGTATTATTATAAAAAAGAAGCACTAAAGCAAGAATATCCACTAGGAATTTTTATTGACCTAAGAAAAGCTTTTGACACAGTGGACCACGACATCCTACTCCACAAACTTGACCATTACGGTACAAGAGGCCATGCGCTTGCTTATTTCAAATCTTACCTTACTAATAGGTATCAGTATGTCACCATTAAAGACACGGCATCAACAACACGGCCACTTGATACTGGAGTTCCGCAGGGAAGTGTCCTTGGTCCCCTGCTCTTCCTCATATACATCAATGATCTTCCAAACGTATCTCAACACCTGAAACCCATTCTCTTTGCTGACGACATACAGCGCTGCCGGGCAGGAAGGGATGTAGGGGTAGCAAGAGGGAGAGCCATGATTGTTAGGTCATGGAGTGCGGCGGCGGGACAGTGAACAGTGCAGGGGTAGATGGTAGCAAGAGATTGAGGTAGAAAAGGCTGTCAGGAGTACCAGTCGTCGTCGTCGTCGTAAATCAGTTGCTGTCAGTGAGAGTCTGGGTTAAAGGAAGAAGTTTGTGTAGG